AAACCTTGGTGACTCCCTGAGTTGATCGTCGATGCTGTCGCTGTATCCTGGCAGTATTTCGTCTTTCTGCCTCGCTCTCTGTCACTGCACTCGATTGCCATGGCCTGTAAGTTGAAAATTAATATGAGAAGATTTGTTAAAAGTACATGAAGTGGACAATGCAGGATCGGCTATGAAAGAACAAAACCATGCAATTATTGGGGCAGGACGGGAAAGGGGGGAGAGGTGAGAGCTAATTTTGAGAGCAAAGGTCAACATTTAGAAGCAGCACATTGACTTTCAAGGTATGGACAAGTCGTTAGTGTTGTTATATTTACATAAATAATGCCGGCGAGTGATCGAGTAACAAAAATCTGCACCTCATTTTGCTTGGATTAAGTTGGTGTGGCTGGAGACCACGGGGTAGTTCACCGCATACCACCGGCGGAACTGTCTCACTGGGACTCGACAAGGGACGAAATGCGGAAACCCGGCTCTGTACGAACGGTGAGGTGGGAGTGCCGACAGAAGGCGACTGCGGGTCGCTGCTGCTGCTGGGAGATTGTACTGGACTGTTGTATACGCGAGAAAGGGACGCCCACGGCAAATTCGATGGCGTTGATTTGGATCGCTGCACCGTTGTGGGCAAACAACTGCAACAGCACTTATACGATGGAAACCGAAGAAACAGGTAAAAGCTGCTGCTAAAATGCTAGGTTAAAACTAGAAGCGGTGCTTGAACATAGAAGACACATAGGTAACACTTAGCACGGGTACCCTAGCCATGAACAAAAACAAGGAAGAAAAACATGATAGCGCGACAGGATCATAAAATTCAAAGAGACTTACGGTGGCTTAGCAAGCACAGGGGTTGTCGTAGTATACTGTACACCGCTGGTTCCGGAAGACACTGGCAGTGTCATGGACATCGGTGAAGGAGAATCCGATGAGGCTGTCGCCGATGATCTTGACGCTCCAGAACTAGAAGAACTACCGGACCTGAAAAATTCGATGAAATAACCTCACGGCAAAAAAACTGAATTTCGTGCTACTTACCTCGTTATGAGCTGCACACCACGATTTATCCAAGAATTTGGTTGCTGAAGAGGTCGAGTCGGTATCGAAACTGTAGCGGACACATGCTGATCTCCACTGTGGATGGAGGACGATGATC